GGGAGGTGATGATTGCAGTGAGCTGAGATCACAACACTGCACTCCAGCCTGGGCAACAGAGTAAGACCCTATCTCAAAATAATAAATAAATAAAAATAAAAAGTAAGATAAAAATTTCAAAACTAAGCAGAACATGGTGACATCAACCCCTCAGCCCCCACCTGTTTTTGTTTGTTTGTTTTTTGTGTATTTTTAGACAAAGTCTCCCTCTGTAACCCAGACTGGAGTGCAGTGGCATGATCTCGGTTCCCTGAAACCTCCGCCTCCTGGGTTCGAGAGATTCTCCTGCCTCAGCCTGAGTAGCTGGGATTACAGGTGCACGCCACCATGCCCAGCTAATTTTTGTATTTTTATTAGAGACTGAGTTTCGCCATGTTGGTCAGGCTGGTCTCGAATTCCTGACTTTGTGATCTGCTCACCTCAGGCTCCCAAAGTGCTGGGATTATAGGCATGAGCCACCATGCCCTGCTGTAGCTTTTTTTCTTAAAATTTTTCTTAAAATTTTTTTTAAGTCCCCTCAGAGTGGGCATAGATATAGCTTTTTTTTTTTTTTTTCTTTTATAATTAGAAAAGTAGGTCGGGCACGGTGGCTCATGCCTGTAATCCCAGCACTTTGATAGGACGTGGTGGGTGGATCACCTGAGGTCAGGAGTTCAAGACCAGCCTGGCCAACACGGTGAAACCCGGTCTTTACCAAAAATACAAAAATTAGCCGGGCGTGGTGGTAGATGCCTGTAATCCTCGCTACTCAGGAGTCTGAGGCAGGAGAATCTCTTGAATCCAGGAGGCAGAGGTTGCAGTGAGCTGAAATCCTGCCCCTGCACTCCAGCCTGGGTGATAGACTCCATCTCAAAGAAAAGTAATATATGCTCTTAGCAAGTATGAAGAATTAAGATCCTCTATTTGTCTGCCATGTAGAAATAAACATTGTTAACATTTTGTTTCTAGTCTGTCAAAACTTTTCATTTGATTATACTTTTTTATTTGACAAAAATGGGATATTACATATACATTTTTGTAATCTGCCTCTCATTTTCCTTTTCTTTTTTCTTTTTTTGAGACTGAGTCTCACTCTGTCACCCAGGCCGGAGTGCAGTGGCTCAATCTTGGCTCACTGCAACCTCTGCCTCCTGGGTTTAAGCTATTCTCCTCCCTCAGCCTCCTGAGTAGCTGGTATTACAGGTGTACACCACCACACCTGGTTAATTTTTGTATTTTCAGTAGAGATGGAGGTTCACTATATTGGTTAGGCTGGTCTCGAACTCCTGACCTTGTGATCCGCCTGCCTTGGCCTCCCAAAGTGCCCGCATTACAGGCATGAGCCACGGCGCCCAGCCCATTTTTCTTAACAGTATGCTGTGAGCATCTTTTCATGTGACCATCTTTTAATAAATATCATTGTTAATGGTTTCATATTCCACTCTATGGTTGTAATATAATTTACTTTGTCAATTTCTTTATTGTAGACATTTAGGTTGTTTCTCTTTTTTTGTGTGTGGTTTTCTTCTTTCATTTTCTTTTTTTTTTTTTTTTAAGGCTAGTCAAGTGAAGCACTGGGGGTGGAGAAGGAACAAAGAAATCTGTAACCAGTTGTCATCAATTAGTTGAAAACATCACTGCATTTGGACCACCCTATTTTTTTTTTTTTTTTGAGACGGAGTCTCACTCTGTCTCCCAGACTGGAGTGCAGTGGCATGATCTTGGCTCACTGCAACCTCCTCCTCCCAGGTTCACGCCATTCTCCTGCCTCAACCTCCCGAGTAGCTGGGACTACAAGCGCCTGCCACCATGCCCAGCTAATTTTTTATATTTTCAGTAGAGACGGGGTTTCACCGTGTTAGCCAGGATGGTCCCGATCTCCTGACCTTGTGATCCGCCCGCCTCGGCCTCCCAAAGTGCTGGGATTACAGGCGTCAGTCACCATGCCCGGCCTTTGGGCCAGCCTATTTTTTTGTGGGGGATTTTAAACAAGTTATCAATGAACAGCTTCATAAATTGTTGGATGCCTCTCCTATTATTATTATTTAAACACACCACTGCACTCGGACCAACCTATTTTTTGTGCAGAGTTTTAAACAAGTTATCAATGAACAGCTTCATAAATTGTTGGACACCTTTCCTATTATTATTATTATTATCTATTTTTCTTTGAGATGGAGACTTGCTCTGTCGCCCAGGCTGGAGTGCAGTGGCGTGATATCGACTCACTGCAACCTCTGCTGCCTGGGTTCAAGCGATTTGATTCACCTGCCTCAGCCTCCCAAGTAGCTGGGATTACAGGCGCCCACCACCACGCCTGGTTAATTTTTGTAGTTTATTTTTATGTTGTTTGTTTATTTATGTTTGTTTGTTTTTTGAGACAGTGTCTTGCTCTTGTTGCCCAGGCTGGAGTGCAATGGCTTGATCTCGGCTCACTGCAACCTCCACCTCCAGGGTTCAAGCGATTCTCCTGCCTCAGCCTCCCGAGCAGCTGGGATGACAGATGCCCACCACCATACCCGGCTAATTTTTTGTATTTTTAGTAGAGACGGGGTTTCACCATGTTGGCCAAGCTGGTCTTGAACTCCTGACCTAAGGTGATCCACCTGGCTCGGCCTCCCAAAGTGCTGGTATTACAGGCGTGAGCCACCGCCCCCGCGCTAATTTTTGTGGTTTTAGTAGAGATAGGGTTTCACCATCTTGGTCAGGCTGGTCTCCAACTCCCGACCTCGTGATCCACCCACCTTGGCCTCCCAAAGTGCTGGGATCACAGGCGTGAGCCACTGCTCCTGGCCTCCTATTATTTTATTAAAATAAATTCTAAGACATAAAATAACTGCTTAAAGGGTATCTTAAAGGCTTTTACATTTTTATGAAAGCCAAACTATCTTCCAGAAAGGCTTGCACATATCAAGTTTCATTCTTGATATGGTTAATGCAAATAAATGCCTATTCCTTATATCCTTTTTCTTTCTTTTTTTTTTTTTTTTTGAGTCAGCGTTTCACTGCTGTTGCCCAGGCTAGAGTGTGGCGGCCCAGTCTCGGCTCACTGCAACCTTCGCCTCCTGGGTTCAAGCGATTCTCCTGCCTCAACCTCCGGAGTAGCTAGGATTACAGGTACCCGCCACCACGCCTGGCTAATTTTGTATTTTCAGTAGAGATGGTGTTTCACCATGCTGGTCAGGCTGGTCTCCAACTTCTGTCCTCAAATGATTCACTCACCTCGGCCTCCCCTAAGTGTTGGGATTATAGGTGTGAGCCACTACACCTGGCCGATTCCTTATATCCTCATCTAGGTTTTTGGTCTTTTTAAAATCTTTGTCAGTCTGCTATGTGAAACTGGTATATCACTGTTAATTTTATTTTCAGTTTTTCCGATTTCTAGTGAGGTGGGACATTTTTTCATAAAATTATTAAATCCCCCCATATGTTATGTATGTATACACACACACATGACTAGCTTGTCCATGCCCTCGACTTTTATTTATTTATTTATTTTATTTGAGACAGAGTCTTGCTCTGCTGCCCAGGCTGGAGTGCAGTGACGCGATCTCGGCTCACTGCAACCTTCACCTTCGCTTCTCAGGTTCAAGCATTTCTCCTGCCTCAGCCTCCCAAATATCTGGGATTACAGGCACCCACCTCCATGCCCAGCTAATTTTTTGTATTTCTTTTTTTTTCCTCTGTCACCCAGGCTGGAGTGCAATTCCAGAATGGAGTACAATGGCGTGATTTCAGCTCACTGCAACCTCCATCTTCTGGGTTCAAGTGATTCTCCTGCGTCAGCCTCCCAAGTAGCTGGGATTATAGGCGCTCACCACCAAGCCTGGTAAATTTTGTATTTTTAGTAGAGACAGGGTTTCGCCAATGTTATGCAGGCTGGTCTCGAACTCCTGACCTCAGGTGATCCATCTGCCTAGGCCTCTCAAAGTGCTGGGATTACAGGCATGAGCCACTGCATCTGACCTAATTTTCTGTATTGTAGAGCCGGGGTTTCACCATGTTGGCCAGGCTGGTCTCAAACTCCTGACCTCAAGTGATCCGCCCGCGTCAGTCTCCCAAAGTGCTGGGATTACAGGCGTACACCACCAAGCCCAGCTATTTTTTGTATTTTTAGTAGCGATGGGGTTTCACCATGTTGGTCAAGCTGGTTTTGAACTCCTCACTTCAGGTGATGTGCCCGCCTGGGCCTCCCAAAGTGCTGGGACTAGAGGCCTGAGCCAGAGCCACCGCGCCTGGCCTTATTTATTTGAAATGGAGTTTCTGTCGCCCAGGCTGGAGTGCAGTGGCACGATCTCGGCTCACGGCAAGCTCCGCCTCCCGGGTTCACGCCTTCCTCCGGCCTCAGCCTCTCGAGTAGCTGGGACCACAGACCCCGCCACCACGCCCCGCTAATTTTTTTTGGATTTTTAGTAGGGACGGGGTTTCACCGTGTTAAACAGGATGGTCTCGATCTCCTGACCTTATGATCCGCCTGCCTCGGCCTCCCAAAGTGCTGGGATTACAGGTGTGAGCCACCGCACCCGGGTGATTTTTAATTTTTTTTGAGACAGGGTCTCACGCTGTCGCCCAGGCTTGAGTGCAGTGGCGCGATCTTGGCTCGCTGCAACTTCTCCCTCCTGGGTTCAAGCGATTCTCATACCTCACCCTCCCTAGTAGCTGGTACTAGGGATGCCCGCCACCACGCCCAGCTAATATTTGTATTTTTAGTAGAGAGGGGGTTTCCGCTGTGTTCATCCGACATCAGGTGATCCTCCAGCCTCAGCCTCCTGAAGTGTTGGGATTACAAGCATGAGTCACCACAGTCGGTCCGCCCTTAACTTTTTAAAAGAGTGGGTGTTATCTTTTTCTTAATTATTTGTAGAGCTCTTTATATTTTATTATGCAAATAAAACATACGCTAAAGATAGTAACCGAATATATATAAATATCAACTTGCTTGTAATTTATTACAATTGTTTCTCTGTTTCACTACTAGTTCTTCCACTTTATAGTGTCTTCTGTCACATGAAAGGCCCACATTGTGTTTCCAAGTTATCAGTTTTATCTTTTTTTGTTTACTTTTTCTTGGTTTGATATCATGCTTACAAATAAAAGCACGAGCAGGTCCTCTCCCAATACATAAGTCGCTTATACGGAAACAACGTGGTGTAGAGAAAACAAAGTGGATCAAGCCCCTAATAGACTTGTTTAAATGTGGTACAGCCAAGTCGTGGTGCCCAACTTCCATATTCCGTACTGTTAAACACGTCAATCTCAACCTGTTTCCTTATCTGCAAAATGAGCAAAATAGTACCCACCCCAGAGGGTGATACAAGCATTAAAATGCCTGGCAAGAGCAAGGCATCCAGCAAGTGTTAATTCCCTTTCCTTTGCCCCGCGGAGGGCCATTATTAATTGCTCAAAGTGGCCAATTCCCGATAAAGATTAAAACAAAAGGTTGGCGACGGTAAATTTTGGTGAGTTTACACTCCACCCGTTTTTCAGGTATCTTTTAGAAACATTCCATTAAACTAAAAACCCAGTAATGCATATACAAGTACCATAAAGTTTCTACGTTATGAAGTCCTTGTGGCTTAGGGGAGGGCGAAAAGCCAAATATTTTTATTTTCCAGACTTTCCCTTTTTGAGACAACCTCCCCCCACCCTCCCTCTAAACAAATGTGACTTTTTCCCCTGGAATGCCAACCTCCCAGGTGTTAAAGTGAGGCTACGATTATAAGGCGAAAAGGTGTCACAATTAGATAAACGACTGTGAACACCATAATACTGATTTTTTAAAATCTCGAATGGGCTCTGTGGTTCTGATACTCTGACTGTTGGAATAATTCACCTACTGTAAATTTAGTAGAAAGAAAAATAATTAGCACAATTATATCTAGTTGCCATTTCTACCCTCCGAGAGTCTGGGCTTGGCTCCCAGCACGTCTGCTTTCCTCCGCCGTAGGGCTCCCGTGTGCTCCTCTCACGCCCGACACAGTCCGCGTTCGCACGCCACGGTGGAGCATCCCCTCAGTCCACCCTATCGCTCCGGCGCCGGCTCGGCAGACGTTCCGCCTGCGCAGGGCTGGGCATAGGCGCGGTGTGAGCGCCGCTTCACCCAGGCCCGAGCGCGAAGCCCGAGCGGGGTACCCGGCGAAAGGCGCGCGCCGCGGCGTCTTCCGCAGCTTGAAGCTCGGAGAAGCTGCGGCGCGGCTTCGGGAGCTTAGAACTGGAGAAGACGCCGCGCCGCGCGCCACTCGAGCCTGCGCGGCCGCCTCCGGGCGCAGCACTCCTCTCTCGCCCTCCCGGCGGCCCCAACAGCCCGGACTCCGAAGCAGCCCAGGGCGGGGGAGTGCGGGAGGAGGGGCGCCTCACAGAGCGGCGGGGAATTCCCCCTTCCACCGAACGTTCCCGATTGTTCACCGTCCTCACGTCAGCAGCAGGGGGTAATCCCCGACTCCAGCTGCTCCTGACGTCACCGCGTGGAGCCACCGCCCCCCGCGCGCCCCTGCTCCGGGGCCTCCTCAAAGCCCCGCCCCCAGGCTTAGCCACGCCTTCTTCCCCCTCCCCCCAGGCGCCCGACGTAGAGGGCGGAGCTTTTTTGACCGCGGCGTGAGCGGTTGCTTGGGCCAGAAGGTTCTCTGGTGGAGGCGCTCTTCCTGGTGTCCCGCCCAGTAGGTTCGTTCGCACCGTTTCTTCCACACCCTTTCTCCCTCCTTCTCCTCGCCCCGCCTTCCCCTCTTCTCAACCCCTCTAGTTCCTTCCCCGCCTCGCCACTGTCCACGATCTCGCGAGACTTGGCCCAGAACATTGCGGATCGGGTCGGCGCCATTTTGGGACTGAGACTGGTTGTGGGGGAGGGAAAAGCGGCAAAAGGGGATTATTCAAAGTACCGAAAACCTTCTCCCGGGATCAGGCGCGTCGACACCCCCAGGCCAGGGGCACCTCTGGTGGGGCAGAAGGTAACACCGTCCTCTAGGCTCCACGCTCGAGTCCGGGGGAGAAGGGGAGTGCCCGTGTCCGTGTTGGGGTTTGAGGGGTCGGGAGCGGCGTTGGCGGCGCGAGGTGAGAGGCTGCCCGCGGACGGAGGGGCGGCGAGGGGCAAGGAGTGAGAGGGGAGGGAGGCGCGGATAGGCCCCTGTAGCTATTGACTCGGCCCGGGTGGAGCGGAGGTGGCGGTTGTGAGGAGGGGGTGGGTGGTTTAGCCCCGGCAGCTTGGTTGGGGGGTGTTTGCCGTTTGGCGGAGGCTGGGAGCGGGTCCGACGCCTTCCGTGCTCGGCCTTCCCCCGGCCTCTCGCACACACCCGCCTGCTTTTGCACCACTACCCCTCTCAGGGCTGAGGGAGTCGAGGCCGATTTGTGGCCTTCGGCGGTTTCTTCAGCAGCGCCTCAGCTTTCCCCGCCTCTCCCAGGTCCGTGGCACTTGCCGTGGACTGGGGCGAAGGCTACTTTGTTCCTCCGAGTCTTGTGGGGTCTGAGGGGACATGTGCTTTTTGGGGAGAGAACCATTCTCCCTGTGGTTTACGGAAAGGGCCCTGTACCTTCCACCCCCTCAGTTTTGGGAGAAAGCTGTTTTCTTAATTCGAGGAAGTGGAAACCTACACCTTCTAGCCCTCTGCTCCCTCAGAAGTGGGGAAGTCTCCTCGGGAGAATTTAAGGAGCGGGTTTGCCCTACTTCTAGTTCACCTTTCTGGCCTTACTGGGGGAATATGCCTCCTCTGGTAGACGTTCTGATTTGGAGGGAGCCTTCTTTTCTTTACATTTGTTATTCTCTGAGTTACATTTGCTAATGCTCCGTGGCAACACACCTGTCTTCGTTTTCCTTGGTACATCGAAGAGGGTTGGAGAAGATCTTTTGTAAGATTAAGTGACGGTTTCATAGTTTCAAATGTATTCAAGAAGTATAAGAGGGTTTGCTTATATAATTCCCCAATATTGGATCTGCACCCCTTCCCAGGTGAAATCTGCCCTTGCCCTCCATAATACCGTCACCTACCGTTTTTACCTCCCTCTACTCCGATGTCTTTTTCATTCAGTAGACTTTTATCGGGTGCTTGCTTGGGTAAAGCCGTTTTCCAGGCTCCTGTAAGGTTATACAGAAGTGATTTTCTCTCCAGAGGGTGACTTTTTAAGTTGGGGATTGATTTTTTTAGCTCAAAATCAAAACTCAGTATATAATTTTTTTTTTATAACTTTTACAGGTGAATGAATTACTCAGATATGAAGATCATCTTCTAGGTTTTGTGTAGAAGGCCCCGGATATTTTAAGTGGCCATTTTGGATTTACAATGTTTTTGGATAATTTTGCCCCAGAAGTTTATTAAAATTGGCAAGAATCGTCTATGAAGTGAACTGATAGTAGTGAGCAATTCAGCAAGCTACTTAAAAAGAGACCCAGGCAGCATTTCTTCAGTATTTTGGTTCAAACGGATTATATAACTGGTTACAGTATTTCAGCTGGTGGTAATTTTTGCCTTCCCCCTCCCCCACCCCGTTGTTGGGGTTCTTCAGCCGAAACTGAGAGACGTTGATTTGTGTACTGAGTAGTTTCAGCAGTTTCAAATGACTGAGTATTGCTGAAGTTTCATGGCAGTTTATTTTTACCTTTATTGAAAGTTTTAGGAATTTTTGACTTCAGCTCTTTCGTGTTACAATGGGACACTTTTTCTAAATGAAGACATTGAAAGAATACCGAATTTTTTTCCTTTTATCTTTTATTTACGTAGAAATTTAAGATGTTGCAGTTTCCCGGCAGCATGGTAGTGTTGAGATAGCTATGTGTGTCTCTGTATATGCTGATATTTAGGAATGCTCTTCAGATGTGAAATTTTCTTTTTGTTTTTGCTTTTTGGCTCGTAAATTGGATATTTCATCTGGAGTGGACAAGTACAACAGTGGCAAGTACATGGAATAATAAAGAAGACTTTGATCTTAAATCTAAAGAACTTGGCTAATTCGGGAGATAGCCATATGAAAACTTTAAAACAGAAGTATGGGTAGCTGACTTGAAGTAACTCTATGTCAAATAGTCATAGGTTAAGTATCTTCAAAGAACTTCGATATTATTTCAGAGGATACAAAATAAAAATACAAACTGGAAAACAAAGATTACAAAGAAAAAACCAACACCTTCCTGTGCAGTCCTGTTGGAATTTGTAAGTACTTTTATGGTGAGCAAATCAAATGTTCGTTTGTAAACTGTAATGGGAGTCGAGTTTATCCTATGTTATTCTTGGAAGCCTTTCAGTTTCTTGCAGTAATAGTGCTTGGTTTCAGTTTCCTTGACAGTCTGAAAACAGCTATTAACCATTGTCTGAGTAAACTGAAATTCAGAAAAAACCTTTAAAGCTTAGGAATTTTTCGGATTCAAACAGTCCTGAGCTACAGGTTTTTGTGCTTTTTAAGTAAAAAGCTAAATTCGTCTGGCCAGTATGTATTGCTTTAGGCTTTGAGGATTCATTCATAGTGGTAGAAAGGTAGGAAAAAATGCAACAAATAATTCACCACGTGCCTTTTTAGCCAGTTTGCATTCTAAATACATGTGCCTTGATAGCCAGTTTACTTTTCAAATGTGAGTTTAGACTGCATTCGAACTGCAGTTTAGTGTTGCATTTGGGGTTACATAGTTTGGTTATATTACAGGTAGTAGTTTTTAATGTATTTCATGAACTAGCTTGTTTTAAGGCATAACTTCCTAACATATTAATCCGTTATAGAAATTAAGTTTTTGAAATAGTTTTGTTGAAATGGTTTTGTATTTCAGATTATTTCTTAATTAAGACTTTACTTTCAAAAAAGGAGGGTATTACCAGGACCAGCAGCTCAGAGGAACTGAGCAAGCTGAATTAAGAACCTTTAAGTAACTTAAGAAAATATGAGTATACTTTTTTTTTCACTCGATGTTATGCTGGCCTAAGTTTATAAATAAAGCTTTTTTTAAAAAAATGCTGTGAATATTAATTGCTATAATAGAAATTGTTTTGACAGGTGGGAGAGTTATCTTTTAATGTTTGTATTTTTCAGGATTAAATGGTGTTTTTAGTTACCATTAGTTACTACGTTTAATTTTTCAGTGAATCACAGGCATTTAGGGGTTTTTAAAGAGATACACTAAAATTTAATTTTTTTCCTCTTTGACTACTGACAAAATTTAATTTTTAGGCAATTAATATTAGTGAACACATAAGTATAACTCAAATTAGAGGGTTATTTCAATTGTCTTTCTGAGACGAAAGACTAATTTTTTTTTTTTTTTTTTTTTTGAGACGGAGTCTCGCTTTGTGGTCCAGGCTGGAGTGCAGTGGCCGGATCTCAGCTCACTGCAAGCTCCGCCTCCCGGGTTTACGCCATTCTCCTGCCTCAGCCTCCCGAGTAGCTGGGACTACAGGCACCCGCAACCTCGCCCGGCTAGTTTTTTGTATATTTTTTTTTTTAGTAGAGACGGGGTTTCACCGTGTTCGCCAGGATGGTCTCGATCTCCTGACCTCGTGATCCGCCCGTCTCGGCCTCCCAAAGTGCTGGGATTACAGGCTTGAGCCACCGCGCCCGGCCAATTTTTTTTTTTTTTTGAGACCGAGTTTTGCTCTTGTTGCCAAGGATGGAGTGCAATGGCATGGTCTTGGCTCACCGCAGCCTCCGCCTCCCGGGTTCAAGCGATTCTCCTGCCTCAGCCTCTCAAGTAGCTGGGATTATTCTGACACTACTGCTTAGGAATAACAATATCAGTAACGGCAATTTAGAAGCCCGCCACCAGGCTCGACTAATTTTTTGTTTTTATAGAGACGGGTTTTCACCATGTTGGTCAGGCTGGCCTCGAACCCCTGACCTCAGGTGATCCTTGTGCCTTGGCCTCCCAAAGTGCTGGGATTACAGGCCTGAGCCCACGTGCCAGGCCGAAATTGTAATTTTTGAACCCTTTACCAGAATGGCCTAACCTAATAACTTGTCAGTTGCTTATTTTGAACGAATTTTTTTTTTTTTTTTTTTTTGCTTAAACTGTTGAATCCTGCTAGTCCCCATGGAGCAAAAGTGGTAGTAAAAAATACATAGTTTTTTTTTTCCCTGAAATTGATGTTAGAGAGTTCAGTAATTCCCTTTGTCATAGTAGATTAGGTTATATGTGTTTTCGGTCAGACCTGTGTGTAGTAGTTCTAATTGTCTACCTTGATTTATAAAATTGGTGAGAACATTCCACACCTTTTCACTTGGGAGGGCCTGTATTTTGTTCATTCCTCAATTCAGTGACTTCTCAAGTTACTTAAGAATATACATCTTAAATATGATTAAGAAGTTGAGCTGGAGTCAGACGATCATTATTCCTAGAAAACTGTATAATATTTATTCGTGATTCTTTTTTTCTTTTTTCTTTTTTTTTTTGAGACAGTCTTGCTCTGTCGTGTGCCCAGGCTGGAGTGCAGTGGCACAATCTCAGCTCACTGCAACCTCCGCTCCTGGGTTCAAGCGATTCTGCCTCAGCCTCCCAAGTAGCTTGGATT